CCCCAAAACCCCAAAACCCCAAAACCCCATAAGGTATGAATAAAAAGCACATAAAGAACTAAGTAATGAAAATTTCTGGATGTAAATTACATCTTTTAATTAATTGTAATTAATTTCAAATCTATTGAATGCAATATCTAATATCCTAGATAAAAGCAAATTACCCTGATATTAATGTGATTTGATTTAAAGTTATCTTCAATGCTTTCCAAGTATAATAATCAAAGCCCCCACTATACAAACTACCATACCAAGAAATCCAAGAAACTGTGGATAAATAGATAAGAAGATTATTTCTAAGGCCAGTTAGAAAGGAGCTTATATCTACATAATAGCTTGTGTAGTACCTCCTTTTCCATAAGTGACTGCACCTGTAAATACTACTGCTCCCATTAAATAAAGTAAAGAACAGATGGATACTAATGAAAACTCGTAGAAAGCATACGGTTTTACATAAAAATGCTCATAAATTGCCATTGATGTTAGAACAGTCGAAACTAGTGCTTAAGAGTCTGTAGTGTACTGAAGTGTGGAGATTTTAGTGGTTCTAATCAGTCTTGCCATTACACTACTCATTACAAAAATACAACAGTTCGCTAAGGCTAGAGCTATTGGAATGAAAACACTAATTCTATTTTCCTCATTAATCCCAAGCCTGACTGCTACATCCTCAGCTGGTGCATATTTTCCATTTGCTATTAGTATTACACTGACCATAACAAGTACTATTCCTATAATGTGCTTTAATCCTAGACTTTCTTTGAATAAAAGATAAAATGCAATAGCAACCATGACTGATGTAGCAGCGTAAATTGAGAAAACAATAGATGCATTGATTCCAGACATAATTGAAGTTTGCAATATGTAATAAAGGATAAACTATGATAAAAGTTGAAAGCAAGATCTTATAATAACAATACTGCCCAATTTCAGATCAAATCTACCTTTTTGATCATAGTAAGCTGAATCTTCCAATTTCCAGAAGGAACCTTTCTAAATCTTGAGTTAAATCGCACAAATTAAATGATAGATTATGAAAAACATAAAGTTTATCACAGTAATCAGGTATATAGTCCTCAATTCCATCACTCCATTCACTGCAATAAATATAACATAGTTGAACAATCCATAGCATAATCCAATAAAGATAGCTGCATATAGGTAATACTTCTTAAATAACTATGCAACTCTTGAAGTTTCGTAAGTCCTTGGCTTTTGACTGATCTCATTTAATTAATCTTTAACTAAAAGAGGTTCACTTAAGTCATTTTGGTATGTCAAGTCTTATGTAGAATTTAAAGTCATTCTAAAATATTAATTTAATTAAATATATTTGCTCACTTTATTTATAAGTATTATATCAATATGGGGTTTTGGGGTTTTGGGG